CAGAATAACCCTCTTTATATATATATATATATATATATATATGAAGAGTTCAGATGCAAAAGCCTCTAAATGCCATTTGAAATTTTCTTCTTTAATGATGATTGTTTTTTAACAAACTAGTATATTTAAGTTCAGTAATTTCACTTAAATGGCAATGATAATTACCTATTAATTGTTATTTAAGTGAAATTACTGAACTTAAATATACAAATTTGATAAAAATCATCATTAAAGAAGAAAATTTCAAATGGCATTTAGAGGCTTTTGCATCTGAACTCTTCATATATATATATATATATATACTTAAAAAGCGGGGGTTAAGTTTTTGCACGTCGTGAAGAATAACACTAAAGGCACCATATATATACTTAAAAGTGGGGTTGTTAGTTTTATCTACAGTTACAAAAATCGGTATATACATTGTACTCCTCAAGCCGTACAACTTTCTAATACATAGTCTTTAACTCGGATCAAGAGGAAGACAGATATTTTGGTTTGAATATGGTGAGCCTCTCTCTGAGCCTACGTCCCTCTATGGCAAGCCCTTTTAACATTTAAAAGCTAAGTTTGCCTTTCCGGAATTAACATTGTAGATATCAACAACGTCTTTCTGTCTAGTCGTAATTACACTTTGGATAGTTTGTATTATCATTTAAGATATCTGTAACATAATTGTGACTAGTCGAAATGACAGAGTATGGCAAGCCGTTTTAACATTTAATCATGAAAGGGCCAAAGCCTTCGGCACCGCCACCCGGGTGCCTTTAGGTAACTAAAGGAACCGGGGTTGCGGTGCCTCCGGCTTGGGCCCGCCATCGCTGCTCGCAGCTATATTTATTTCTGTTTTACATTAAGCGCCATCTAATGTCAGGGAATGAATTTGCATGTTCACTCGGCTCATCGTCAGCGAAAAACGCTTGGGTGTGAACACAAAAAACGCGTTGAAAAACGCTGACGAATAACGCGCGCTGATATTCGTCCCGGTGTGTACGGGCCTTTAGATGTGTTTTTGAACATTTGGGCATAGATGCTTAGTTTGAGAGAGAGAGTGTGTGTGTGTGTGTGTGTGAGAAAATGGATAGTTTTTTTTTTTTTTTGCGTTACTCTGGAATGTTTTGTTTACCGGCTGGGAGGACGAAAGGTTACACCATTTTCTCTGACTCCAGATTCTCTGAGCCCACAAGAGACGGCCCTCTGAATTCCTCTATTTCTCTCTCTCTCACACACACAGCCAGCGTTTGCCAGATGTGTTTGTGAGTCCGGTGTCAGATCCGCCATGTTAACACTCTCACCCATTTCTCCTCACAGTTCACAGTTTTGGATTTAGATACACCTTATTGGTCAAGTAGCACAGAGTGGTTCTCGAATCTCAATCAATTTTTTGATTGTTTAAAATTAATGGAGAACATCTTGTGTTTTTCCATGGGTGCTCGGCCATCCCTGACACCTATCCTTCCTGCCTTAGCCAAACAAGCGTACAGTATGTTAGAGAATAAGTGAAGAGTTCAGATGCAAAAGCCTCTAAGTGCCATTTGAAATTTTCTTCTAGAATGGTCATTTTTATCAAGCTTGTATATTTAAGTTCATTAATTTCACTTAAATGGGGATGAAGATTACCTTTGAATTGTCATTTAAGTGAAATTACTGAACTTAAATATACAAGCTTGATAAAAATTATCATTCTAGAAGAAAATTTCAAATGGCACTTAGAGGCTTTTGCATCTGAACTCTTCAAGTTGAAGCATGTGTCTTATAGTTCGATGGTCACTTCTGGACCCAGCTTCCTGTGGATGAAATGGCATGGTGGTTTATATAAAGGAATATTCCGGGGACAAAACGTAATTTCCACTTGTCTCTCCTTTTCTTAATAAAGAAGCAAAATCTGGGTTACAGTGAGACACTTAAATGGGAGTGATGCCATATACTAGGGATGCACCGATATGAACATTTTGGCCGATACCGATAACCGATAATTCTTTATATTTGAAAGCCGATAACCGATATATCGGCCGATAAATCTAAATCCAATTTTTATATAATTTTTGAAAGCCTGATTGCAAAAACAAAAGTCTCACAATTGAAATCTGTCCCCTAACACAATTATAATGTTCTCATTATAATTTCATGTAGCCGATATGACTTAACTATATTTTCCTTTTTGATTCCAATCATATTTCAAGCAATTAAAGATCAATCATGTTGAACAGTGTGCATGTCTCAGGTGTCAAGTGTTGAAGGAAATAGTTCATTATTTATCAGCTTTAATATATCAGCCAAATTTTATTATCGGTCCGATAACGATAACATAAAAATGAGCAAATATCGGCCGATACCGATATGGTGGCCGATATATCGTGCACCCCTACCATACACCCTAAAACCCTAAAATGTCTGTAAAATTATTATTTAAACACCTTCATAGTACACATTATAACAGAATAATCAAAGTGCTTTTATAAAATTATACATTTTACAATTCTACGTTTAAATCCTCCAAAATGTTTCCCCATTCACTTCCATTGTAAGTACCTGTAATTACCGAAGTACATTTTATTTGAATTTTTTATTTTTTTATTTGCGACAATCAACATTAAATGCTAATGCGTCAAATGTCTATTGAGCTTAACTTGTGTTGAACCCGGACCGGATATATTTTTTTAAATTCTATAATATTGGCCCAAGAAACAAATCCGCCTTAAACTGCACTGGATATTACAGGATAGCTGAGACTAATGCACTAATCCACATCTCCTCTATCCTCCCGTGGGCTGGACTGTCTGTCTGCTTTAGTGCTCCGCTAAGAGACGAGACTCACAGGGTCCTCATCTGTGATCAAAGCACTTTTGTTGAGGGTGTTCGTCTATTTTATACTTTTAATTATGTGTTTTGTGTCGTCTAAAGTGCTGATCACTCAAGATACACCGTCACTATTATGTGTCATTTCATTTATTGAATGTGATTGCCTGTTCTTCTGTTGTTTTATCACGACAGCCCATCTTGGAAATTAACCAATAGGGTGTGAACAGTATGGAGTGGGAAAGCGACCCGCTGTCTCTCTGGATATATTGCGCTCTCTGGACGACATACAGATGCACAATCTGCACGTATAGATGCAGGAAATTACTGCGTGTGTTTGGTGTTCAAGGCCAAAAAAATGGAGATTAAAGAAAGAAAGGCAGGACAGAGAATATGAGTGAGCGATAGAGAGAGTGAGAGAAGTCTGTCTGCAGTATCAGGTCTGTTTCTTTGTGTTGCTTCAGGGACTGGGAGTCTCTTATCATCATTTTCAATCATGTCTTGCTAATTAAGGAACCCATTTGCTTGAAATAAGTCATTGCAGTTAAAGCGGCCACTCTCTCTCGCTGCAGCTCGCTTGTTTATTGCCAGACCTGCAAGAATGCTTCATCTGTCTTCATGCTACAGACATAACCACTCATTTCTCACTCGCCTGAATTTGTTGGAACACCCCAAACACAAACACACACACACACACATATATAGTCAAGAGAACAAGTGTGGTGTGCAGTAGTGGCAGTAGAGGGTGCTGTTATGTTACATGGCCTGTTTGTCAATGCACAGATCCAGTTTCATTATTGGATGTTATTCTCAGTACACTTGTAGGTTTACAGATTTGAACAAACCTCTTAATTCGTCCCACACTATTTGCACACATGGAGGAGAGTTGTGCTGTTACATTTCTAAGCGATCAGTCAATAAAAATAGATAGAATTACAATAAAGGGGAATTCTGAGCCATATAGACTACGGGTCAAAAGTTTTAGATCAGTAAGATTTTTTATGTTTTTAAATGAAGTCTCTTCTGCTCACCAAGGCTGCTTTATATGATGAAAAAAATGACAAACAGTAATATTGTGAAATATTATGACAATTTAAAATGACTGTTTTCTATGTATTTTAAAATGTAATTTGAAAGCTGAATTTTCAACATCATTACTGTTGCTGATTACACATCAGTTTTCAGTGTCACATGATCCTTCTGAAATCATAATTTTAATATGCTGATTTTATGCTCAAAAAACATAAATTATTATTTTCAATGTTGAAAACAGTCATGTACCATTTCCCCCCCAAAAAATTCTATGATGAATCGAAAGTTCAAAAGAACAGCATTTATTTAAAATATAATCTTTTCTAACATTATAAATGTCTTTACTCTAACTTGTCCTTGATGAATAAAAGTATTTTCTAATTTCTTTCCCCCAAAAAATGAAAAATAAATTCCAAAACTTTTGAATGGTAGTGATTAATGTTACAAAAGCTTTCCAGTTCAGATCAATTCTGTTTGAACTTTCTATTCATCAAAGAATCCTGAAATAAAAATGTAAAAAAAACTGTTTTCAACATGGATAATAATCATAAATGTTTCTTGAGCATCATATTATAATCATTTCTGTAGGATCATGTGACACTGAAGACTGGAGTAATTTGATCACAGGAATAAATTACACTTCACTATAAATTCACATAGAAAACCGCTGTTTTAAATTGTAATAATATTTCACAATATTACTCTTTTTTTTTGTATTTTTTATCAAATAATTGCAGCCTTGGTGAGCAGAAGAGACTTCTTTTAAAAACATCCGATCTAAATCTTTTGACCGGTAGTGTATATTTGACTTGTGTCACTAAAAACACCTAGCACCCACTTAACACTGCCATTAGATCTATAATTTCATCATTATATGACGACAACATGACAGCTAATGCATTCAGATGTTTCACTTTCAAGAAATTTGTCTGCATCAGATTTAACTAGCATTTATGTGATAGAGGGATCTGATCAGGATGTGCATCTTTGCTGCTGTGTATCGTCTTATGTGTAAAAAAACCCCTGACAATAGCCTGCAGGCAGTTGCATTGCATTATGGGAGATATTTAGGGCAGTGAGTGATTGACAGTGAGTTGTCACGGTTAAATGATAATGGATGCATCATAATGAGTTTGTCTGTCTCTCCTTGTCTTTCTCTTTCTCTGATGTAGAACCTTGAGAAGGAGACGGCTCTGCACTGTGCGGCTCAGTACGGTCACTCTGAGGTGGTCCGTGTTTTGCTGCAGGAGCTTACGGACCCCAGCATGAGAAACAGTCGCGGGGAAACACCGCTGGACCTGGCCGCCATGTACGGACGCCTGCAGGTGGTCTGCATGCTACTGACCGCCCACCCCAACCTCATGAGCTGCAATACACGCAAACACACGCCTCTTCACCTGGCCGCACGGAATGGCCATTACTCTACCGTTCGAGTGTTGCTGGAGGCCGACATGGACGTTAACACACAGGTCAGTGCGTGAACAGGATATCCTCGTATGTTACGCACACTTTTTTGCTTCAGCTGTCAGTTCTGTTATGACAACTCTCTTGAGTTTGGCATGGGATTAAATGGTACATATCATGCTTTAAAATCGTTCCTTTTTACATATAAATCATAGATTTGTGGTCTATATAAAGCGAAACGGCAATACTTGGGTCTGAATTCCTCATTATTATAGCTCCACAGACCCCTTTTCTGAAGTGCGTCTGTAAGCAACTCGTTTTGGATCGGTCTCTTTAAATGCAAAGGAGATGTGTCATACGCCGCCCGGTTCCCGGACACTCGGTTCAACTCCACCCCGTTCGGCCATTTTTGTAGTTTGATTAGAGGTATACGATTATATAGCGTCAAAGAACATTTTTATTCACACGTTAACAAAAGGTCAACAACGGAAGACTTGTCAATCAAGCCTTACATGTTCGAGCCAGAGCGAGCGAGTTGAAAAAGAAGATGATGAACCAGCAGAGTAACTTATTTATATGGATGTATTGCAATGGTATGTAACTGTATTGTGTTATAAGTGAAAGTCGATTATTTTTTCTTGTTAAAACGAGCACACTAACAAGATAAATGACTGCGGTCTAATCTTACCACTAAAAATCTGTATTTATAATATGATACGTTTAGAAAAGCATCAGAAAACACAGCAGCTAAATGACCATTGATGAAACTCAAGGGCAATAATACTGCAGACGTGTAACGTTACTTCAAAACAAAAACAAAGAAAGACAAAGGTACTGCTAAACCATGACCACCATATGCTTTATTTTTATTAACGATATTTACAGCTTATCGAAATGCTCTGTTCGTCGTCTCCAAAGATAGAAGGAATTGACCTCATTCAGACGGAGTCGATCGGCAAACCCTTCTTTAAACTGGCGGAGGTTGTTGAAGTGGGAATCCTTGAAGTACCGAACATTTTGACTTGTCCTCTTGTAACTTCTGCGTCCTTGAGCTTTGACTACAAAATCAAAGCGAGAAATAGAAATGGCGGATTGCTCGAAGTGTTGGGCCGGTAGTCAATGTCCTTATTTGGCAGTTCCACTACAAATACCGTAATTGTTCAAAATAAGTCATAGAGAACAGAAAAATCTGAACAGGTTGCAAAATATGACCAAAACAGAATATAAAGATATAAACAAAGCACCTGAAGAGAATAATTCCATCTTTTCTGTACTTATAAACACTCCAAATATACAACAAAATGCATTTAAGGACTAAAAAAACTGCAAAAGCGGAAGTTCAAAGACAATATTGTAAAGATGACGGCGCCCACGTTTCTCTGGAGCATAAGGTCTATAGAGAATGATGCAATTGCAATTGGCTTTATGCCCAGCTGCACTACTTCCTGAACTTCAGCCAGCTCCTTGTTTCCTGTCTGCCATTATTGGACAAACTTGATTAATTCAGGTGTGTCTGATTATTGTTGTCAGACACACCTGAATTAATCAATTTGTCCAATAATGGCAGACAGGAAACAAGGAGCTGGCTGAAGTTCAGGAAGTAGTGCAGCTGGGCATAAAGCCAATTAGATGGGGTTAAGGACTTATGAGCCAGCGCCATCTAGAGTTTTATAACAGAACTTTGTATTTGGCATGATTATTTGTGTGAGAGAGTGTGTGAATGGTTTAAGGGCTCAAATGGATGAATAATTCATCTAGCTGTGAGAGTAAGTGAAACGCAGTAGAGGAACACTCTGTTCTCAATCCAGGGTTTCCTCAGGCTTCCCTGCAGTGTGTTTACTTATTCAGTTATACTTTAGGGACAAATTTTGTATCAAGAAGTGACCTAAATCGTACAAACCTTCCCTTTGGGAACATTTGAGGACATCTTTGCGTAAAAACAAAAAAGACAAATAAATTCCTTTGAAAACAATTTAGGATTAGACCGAGGATAGTAAATGTATCATCGTTAGTATGAAAAATTCTGTGTATGAAAGGTTCTCATTAATATAAGGTTTTGTCTGCGTTCTTGTTGGATATGTGGTTGTCAAACTACAACGGTGTTTGTATAGAAACTGAATTTTATGATTATGTGCATGTGTTTGATGTTATAATGCTGGTGTGTATGGCAAACCGTTTTAGCTTTTATTATTTCCAGAATATGAATTCTTGAACAATTTAATTCTTGATATCAACAATTGTATTTTCACTAGTAAAATGTCACCATAGGCTGCTATTCAAAATAAATTGTTGATATCAAGAATGGATTTTTTTACTAGTAGAAATATCATTTTTGATATGAATAATTACATTGTTACTAGTAAAAATTTGAATTCCTGATATCAATAATTAAATTGTCACTAGTTGAAATGTCTATTCTTGATATCAACAATTCAATTGCTACTAGTAAAAAATATTATTTTTGATATCTGAAAATGTATTTCTGATATCAATATTATTTCAGATATCTAAAATGTCTTTCTTACTAGTAACAATCACATTCATGATATCAGAAATTAACATTGTCACTAGCAATTCAGTTGTTGATATCAAGAATTAACATTTTTACTAGTGGAAATGTTATTCCTGATATCAAAAATTGCCATTATTACTAGGAGAAATCGAATTCCTGATATCAATAACTATTATTTTAACTAGTGAATATGTAATTGTTGATGTCAAGAATTCATATCCTGTGAATGATTAAAACGGCTTGCCATAGGTGTGTGTGTGTTCTTGGATGGGCTTGTCTTATATTTCTGTAAAGCTGTTTGTATGGAAACTGTCTCTTTAGGCATTGTGTGTGTGTGTGTGTGTGTGTGTGATGGAAAGCTGCTGAATTGTCTGTTTGAATGGTTCTGTGTTGTGTGTGTGTGAGAGAGAGGATGATCAGAGGAAGCTTTGATCTCAGAAAGCATGGATTCCCCTTCCTCTGTCCCTCTCTGTCTCCTGTCTCGATGAAAGATACAGTATCATTTGAACACTCATATTTTAACCCTGTAAAGTGCAACAAAAAATGCTAACCAGACATGTTACAATTTGACTGTCCGCTGTGAATGAGAACTGATATTTGATGTTTAATATAAGCTGAATTTTGGACAACTGAAATGTCGATGAAGTCATAGATGAGAAAAACACAAAAACATAACAAAATGTATTCCCAGGTTAACATGAAATGTGAATGAGTGAATCTTTAATGATGCACATCTTTCTAGTCTTCCATCTTCTTTCCTCCTCTGAGAAAGACACTATGTAAGTGTGTAACTTGCAAGTACATTCAGCTGAAGGAAAACAGCGAGGAAGAGAGATGAAGGCAATCTGCTCACGGCTTCTCAATTCCTGGAAGCACAGCGAGAGTGAATCGATTTCCTCCTACTGGTGACATCAAGAGCTAATCGCCATGGGAAACAGAACAGGAAGTGGTCCTCATTCAGAGGAGGGGGTCCCACTTCCCGTCCCACTCGCTGCTCATCCCGAACAGCACAGATTTCAGAGTTTAAACCTTCAGGAGAACAGTGCGCTCTGTAGTATTTACCATTCAGGATTAAGCCTCATTCACAACATTTTTGTTGTTCTGGACTATTCAGTGATCTGGACTGGACTGTAACCTCAGGTTCAAGGATGAATATCTTATCTGTGACTATTTTGTGGGTTTTCTCTGAGTAAGTAATCACAGTGGATGTGAGCTCTGTATGTGTTAAAGGCGAAACTTGATGTAGCTTTACGTTTGTATCCTCTGTTTAAGCTTGTGAATGTGTACCATTAAATTGTCTCTGGCGCAGTACCCTTGTGGCTTATCTACATCTTAGTACCCGAGGACTCACAATATTTAGGGTAACATTTTTCCATATTCTTCCAACAGAGTACGAGCACTACATTTATAGTCTTTTTTATGTAACCTCATGTGTGTGTTTGCCTCATTTTCAACTTCTCTCTAAGAACTTTCAGCAGACTCGTGGGCGTTCACAGGATGCAGTACGACCGGCCCGACTGAATGGAACAGAACTCAGGGTCTTGAGACACAAGCTTCTTCTGTTCACACAGAATGTGTTTTTGCACAGGGTGTTGGAATAGAGAAAACACAATGTCTCAAGATGCCTTTTTTAAAAGTTGAACTTCTTTTAAGTTGAGTCACACATTTTTAGAACGCCGCACGAGAACGCAAGTGAAAAGCAATGGCGAAGAGTGCAGTGTAATGTAATAATTATATTACATATCAGAAAACAATACTCAATTGATTTAAATAGGAATGATACATCCCTAGATCCTATTTATAAAAATATATGGGTATGAAAGTTCTTTTTTTTCTGCTACAAGACTCTTTTTGACCAATGAGAGCATCCCAAAATTGGTTCCAGTTCAGAAACTTGCAGCGCTCTCACTTGATTTGAAATTGACCCAAAAAATTTGGCAAAAATTTGAGCATTCCTACCTGCCAAACAACTGTACAGCTGCCAAAGACGTTCATTAGACATGTACGTGAATGCCCTGTTGGTAATATTACAAAGACTTAAACTTAACATGATCTATCAGGACTATTAAGAAAAAAAAGATCAATGCCATTAATACTAAAAACAGTGCCTAAAATTAAAAAAAACAGAGGTAGTTTTGGCCTTGCGGAAGGTCAGTGCTGTTTTTTTCAGCAATATGAGATGCAGGATTAATTACAGTGAGCTCCTGTAGTTCTTGTTTTATGTGTATTGCATCATCACATCCATTAAAGGAATACAGGGAGAAGAGCAAGCAGTTGAGTTGTACAGATGCCTCTGTACTAATGAAGGCCGGAGAGGGCCAATTTGATGTGGTATTGTGTTCGGTCTCCCGGTGGCCTATTAAAATGACCACAGTGCAAGAATCTCTCGTAATCTGTCTCGACTGCCGTTCGGTCTAATTTGCCCGTTCCTTTCCCTCTCAAGCTCCCGTCAGTCAGCCTCATAAATTCACAGCGCCATTGTAGTTAATTGTAGTACATTGAATAAATGTTTCCAGAGCTAAATTGGGTGTAGTTAAGTACTTCACTGTGAGTGTGATATAAAATACCCCCGCCAGTCGCCCCAGTAGACGGCTGATAGACTGCAAGTAGTAATGACGTCGTAGTGTATTACTGCCATTTGCTTCTTTACACGAGGCATTTAGGCTTAAAATATTGACTTCAAATCTTTCTCTCTTTAGACAGAGAAAGGAAGCGCTCTCCACGAAGCCGCTCTCTTTGGAAAGATGGATGTAGTTCAGCTACTGCTTGACTCAGGTATGTCTTAGGGAAGTGTATGGGATTGGGATGGGGATGTTGCATGGCCATGGTTTGTGTGACCTGTGACCTAACCGCTTCCCTGTCAGTGTGCCAGCTGTGGAACAGGAACTGGAGATTGCGGAACTTGTTGTTGAATAAGGAAAGGGCGGTGTAATCACTTTGTCGTAGTTTTATTGTTATGGAAACTTTTGTTTTAGGAATATTTAGGAAAATTTTCTATGGGTTTATGGGAAGAATCTATCATTATCTATCATTTCCATAAAAAATATATATATATATATATATATAAAATAAAAACTAATCTGGTTGAAAACTAAACTGGAACTTTAAATGTGCAAAAATTCAAATGAATTCTCAGTAAAAATAAATGTTTATATTTAAAAGCTTCAATGTGGATCATGTTCGCTGTGTTCTGTCTAAAAGCATCTAATTGACATATAAAACAGCTAACCACAGTTCACTTATTGGATTTTCTAATTAAGTGTCGTGTCATTATAGGCAGATGGAACAGTTTTGTGGTGTTGCTTTATCAGAAATAATAAATAAATTAAAAAAATATTAAAATATAAACTAAATATAGTAATACACTAAAACTAGTTTTTTTTTTAAATAAACAAATTAAGAAAAAAAAATACAAACTAAGAAAAAATGAAGAAACTAAAAATCAAAAACAAAATTAACCTTTTTATTTTATTTTTTCACAGGGATTGATGCCAACATCAGAGATTGTCAGGGAAGGACTGCTCTAGACGTGCTGAGAGAACATCCGTCTCAGAAATCACAACAAATTGCTTCTCTCATACAAGGTAAAGCATTTGCCAGACTCACTCACAAACTTTTTTTAAAAGCAAATAAAAACACACAAGCACACTCACACACACGTGCACAAGCTGATGAGGGAGCGTGTTCCTGGTGGAGATCAGAAGGCGGATGCTTGCAGATTGATAAAGTTCATTTCAGGAAGTTTGTGTTCGAGAACAATGGTTGTTTAGTGCGTGTGAAAAATTCTTGTTCCTTGAAATATTTTATGCCAAAACAACAGTTACAAATACCAACAATACTGAGTCTTTACTCATTTTGTTGAGGAATGTATTAGATCTTGGAGTTTATTACTTTGTTATACAACATACTGGCCCTCATTTATCATTAGTGCGTTGAAACGGGCGTATGTGTTCTTTTAATATTTAGAAGAAGAATGTCATTTTTATTATTTTGTCAGTCTGAATTATTTTTTGGTCATTGAAAGCATTTCATTACTGAGTACCTAACCCTAAAAAGGGTAAAGCACACAGGCTCACAACTTAAGGAATACATATACCTACAAATCAAATGCTTTGGTAAAGTCACACAAATTAAACATTGAAGTCCATGTTGCACAAAAATAAACACTGAAGTTTTACAGTGGATCATAATATATCTTTTAGTTTGTCAGTGTGTTTTGTGGTGTCAGGAATTATTTTTCTGCGCATTTCCGCACTAACTCAAAACGTACATACATGTACACCACCTCCTGAACTGGCGTAGGGTTAGAGCGTGCCGTACGCTAACATCCATATTGATAAATCTCAAAGTCACCGTGGTTTTGGATGTACCCTGGAAATTTGGTGTACGCACTTTTGAAAAATGACGGCCATTATTACTACTTTAGGCCATTTTCAGTATTATAATATATTGGATGGATTCTGAAGTCTGATTCCATCTTCCTTTATATACTGATCCCACTAAACTCATTCTTTCCAGTAGAGTTTATCATACAGCACAAAAGATGTTGAAAATAATCAGATGTGGTTATTATCTGGTTTTCAGGCTCTCTTGTTGTTTCCATCCACCCTATTCCCAGCGTTATACATTTCCGAGGGTTGTTAAACTGGGAGTTTAGGACCGTTACTGCTCGAAAATGTCTTCTTTGGACACATGTGAAGTCTAAATCACCCTTCGTCCTATAGGACAGAGGCAACTTTAAAGTTCTCCTCCCTGTCTCTGTGTGGTCAATGAACCCGAATCCCCAGAGTGAAGGAATCTCAAACTCACGCTTGCTGTGGTTTTATAATCTACAGTCTTTGACAGGAGTCTGAAACTATTGTTGTTTTCATGCTTATCATGTGGCTTGTGCAGCCTATAGTTGTTTAGAGCTGCAATTACAGCAGCACATTTTGGTTTCTTTTCACCAACCTAAGAACAAGAGAATGATTTCGGTTTTGCTTGTTTTGACATTTCAACCCCTCATCTTGTACCCCTTAATGCTGTCCTAAAACTGGTACGTCAATGTACTTTTGTGGTTGTTTTTCTGTGCACTAAAAATTGATTTATCTCTGTCTCTCTAGATTATATGATGTCAGATTGTGACAGAGGGAATTTCCATGAAGATTTAGCACGGCAGCGCCCAATACCAACGCCACGCACATCAATACCCTCACCTGTGCCCTCCCCGTCTTTGCGGCATAAAAGTATGTGTGATTGTCAGATCCGTGAAAATGTTCTTAATCCAGACTCATCATTACTGCTGTCACTTTCATGTATTTTAGTGTGCAGTGCGACACCCAGTGGTCAAGGGATAGTATTACAGCACATTATTTGCTGCTTTTTTTTTCCCTAGCAAATATTTTACTCTTTAATCCTATGTTTGATCGCCTAAATCACTTAAACATCGTTTTAATGAAGAATAACCTTATTTTGCTTAGTATTTTCATAACAGGAATACAAATAGTGACATAAATGAGTTTGAGGAGTGGATGTTCATTATGAAGTAAGTGCAGTCAGCAGCGCCCCTTGTGGTCAGTTGTTGTAGCGCAGTCTTACTCGTTCCCTTTGTGCTCTAAATTACTGCTGGATGTGCGTCTTTCGTTCCAGCTGGAGTAGCATTTTGGTAGGATAACAACAGGTAAATCCGAGAGTCTGCCAACCACAAAATTACTGTTAGCACACATCAGCACACTGAGTCGGTGCCAGGAAACAAGCGTTTGTCCCAGATTAAATATTGAAAAAACAGACAAGATAAATAAATAAAGACAAAAATAAATAGGTTGGCTCTCGCTATGAATGCTCTGTAAGTAAACATTTATTTTAAAGCCCTAACAGAGAATTGTAACGTGCTTTTGGTAGCATGATACATTCCATAAATGCATACAATTTAAACTTGTGTATTATTGTGCTAATTTGACGTGACAAAACTGTACGGGTAACATTTCACAATAAGGTTCATTAGTTAACATTAGTTAAGTTAACAATAACTAATAATGAACTGCACTTATACAGCATTTGTTAATCTTTGTTAATGTTAATTTCAACATTTACTAATACTTAATAATACTAATATTAAACTCTTGTAACAAAAACAGTAACAGATGTATTGCTCATCGTTAGTTTGTGTTAGTTAATACATTAACTAATGTTTAATAAATTACCTCACTGTAAAGTGTTACCACTGTACCACAGCTATTTGTAATTAATAGTAATAAATAAAATGTTTAAGTAGTAGAAAGTAAAATATATATATATATATATATATATATATATATACGTATATATATATATATATATATATGTGTGTGTGTGTGTGTAAAATAATATAATATATATAGTAAATTATATATATATAATTGTAAAAAAAATAAATAAAAATAAAAATAAATAATAACACAAGTAATTTAGAAAAAAAAAGAAGAAAATAATTCCTCTGTTTCACCATAAACACCATAAATGAATTTAAATTCATACTTTGAATTCTCTTTCCCTTTTTCTCATTCGTTTTGTAGATGATGCAGGACCAGGGGAGTTGTCCAAGTTGCTGAATGAAATAAAGATCTGCCGTGATAAGGATTGCTCCTTTGAAGAGCTTTGTCAGACCATCTCTTCTCACTCTCAGTCCATGGAGAGCTTCGGCAGTGGGCGGCTGTCTGACGAGGAACGCAACGGCACTCTCACTCGAATAAATAAGGTTTGCTTGCGAAGAAAATACAGTGCAGTATGGCTTTTTGGTGGTTTTTGTACAGGTTTTAAACAATGATTAGAAATGTTTAATCTGAAACCATCCCTCTGAAGTATCAAATATATTCTGGCATCTGTTTTCCAAGAAAATGAAATCAGTCGCGTCAATCGATGAGTATCAAGATTCAAGAGATCCTAATGAGATGCTCACTGTTGATGCAGTATCTCACTCTGGCCAGCAGAGGGAACACAGAACTAAACACTGGGTGCAGTGCTGGGGATCCCTTCAATTTATATAATCTCATACATATATATTTATAGCTCCAAACAGCCCCAGATTTAATCACTGATGTTATTTAACACACACAGAATCTTATCTTTGATGTGGCTTCATCAAACTGCTGGCTGAGAGAGGCAATTATACTTTATAAACTGTGCATTAGGAAAGTGTTATGCAATGGTTTTGCTGAAGATCTGTCGCAGTGACCACTGGATCACGGTATACTCCACTGCGTTTGTTTGATCGATACAATTAAACGTGTTTGTGTCGGTCGGGTCAATCAATCAAAGTCTGCAGAGCCCAGATAAACAAGCAAAGACACACACGCACACAGACGCTCTTCCGATCGATTCCAGTCACATGTCAAAAACTCCCAAGACTTGACTGAGGGGGTTAGAGTTGTTTCCAGCATCTATAAAAGGGCTCTGGGAACATTTTACCGGACATACATGCAATTAAAAAACAATATTTTTAGGGCTGTCAAACAATTAATCGTCATTAATCGCATCCAAAATAAAAGTTTGTGTTTACATAATATATGTGGGTGCACTGTGTATAATTATTTTATATATATATATAAATACACACACATGCTTGTATATATTTAAGAAATATTTTCTTGTATATAATGTATATAGATTTATATACAATTTATATTATATATAAATATTTTATATATAAATAATATATTTTTTCTTAAATATACATATGCATGTGTGTGTATTTATATATATATATATATATATATATATAATTATACACAGTGCACCCACATATATTATGTAAACACAAACTTTTATTTTGGATGTGATTAATCGCGAATAATCGTTTGACAGCCCTAAATATTTTAATTTAAAACAGCATCATCTAATTAAAAAATAAAAATTAAATGTTTTGGTTACGTCAAAGGAATTATTCAGCTATTTTTCCCTTACATATTTACATTACATTAACATTTATATATTTGGCAATTTCTTTTATGCAGTGCAACTTATATTGCTTTCAAGGTTTACCCTTTTTTTAGTTATTACTTTTCCTGGGAATCTAACCCATGAACTACAGGAAAGCAAATATTTGAAGCACATGATCATTGTTTCACATACTAGTAACATATATATACAAATGAAATACACATCATGTTTGTATGATGCTTTTAGCTTTTGTCGCTCAACACGACTAGTAATGTGTTTCTACGTGAGTTCTGGAGTTACAAAAAACCTTAGGAAAAGAATCAGACAAAGTGGGTCATTGCGAGTCAGAGAGTCATGATTGTCACATGTTTAAATCTTGCTTCATGTTTATGTTGGTCTATAGAGTGAAACAGAGAAAGACACTTATCAGAAGTCCAAACAAAATCAGTCAGTTCACATTTGTACAGAACTACGGAGCTCTAAAGGGGACATGGTTAAGAAGAAAAAAAAAATAGATGGGAGAAATTATTTGTCATTGCTTTTCCATTCTCTTTGTTAACGTTTCTCTCAGAAACTTTTGAGTTCGCTCGCATCAAACACACAGTGTTTTTGTTGGTTCAAGTGTCTGTAGTCTGTATAACAGTTCTTATCTACTTGAATGAGGAATGTCCAAAATAGTTTTTCAAGATGGTTTGAATAACAAATCAGCAATAAAATCTAACAAAAGTTTAGTCAAAAGAGCTTATTTGGCTCCAAAAGAAACAAAATACATTTACTGTAGGTTTAAACCTTTTAGGATTTCTCCCATTGGTTTATCTTTGAGTGGTCCGTCTCTTCCCCCTTATACCATCTCTGTCTTATCTTATCTTGTGTTATGTTGGCATGAGCTGAGATCCTGTGTACTACTGTTGACTGTATGTAACTGTATTTATCTCTCTCCACCTGGCTGTAGCGTCCCACTCCCCCGCTGCCTCCGGCGATGGAAGAGGAGGAAAAGAGCTGCGGACCATCAGGCCTGTGGGAGGCGCTCACTCCCTGCAACGGCTGCAGAAACCTGGGCTTTTCTCAGGTACACACAGTCTCACACTTCCTTTCTTTACTATGCAGCCACAGGCTCCTTAGTGGATTAAGAATTTGAAAACGAATGAAGTATGCATCAATCGTGTTTGGGGTAATTACAAGTAACGCATATGTAATCAGATTACTTTTTTCAAGTAACTAGTAAAGTTACTTTTTCAAATAAGTAACACAATCCATTTTGTTTTCCCATTTATTGACGGAGATCTCCATGTTTAGAGAAATCAGGTGGAAGCTTCACAAAAACAGATTCAGTAATCCTCAAATGAATAAAAACACCTGCAGAAGCTGCAGAACAACGTCTTTATATGGATGTATTGCAATGATATGTAACTGTATTGTGTTATAAGTGAAAGTCGATTATTTTTTCTTGTTAAAACGAGCACACTAACAAGATAAATGACTGCGGTCTAATCTTACCACTAAAATCTGTGTTTATAATATGATACGTTTAGAAAAGCATCAGAAAACACAGCAGCTAAATGACCATTGATGAAACTCAAGGGCAATAATACTGCAGACGTGTAACGTTACTTCAAAACAAAAACAAAGAAAGACAAAGGTACTGCTAAACCATGACCACCATATGCTTTATTTTTATTAACGATATTTACAGCTTATCGAAATGCTCTGTTCGTCGTCTCCAAAGATAGAAGGAATTGACCTCATTCAGACGGAGTCGATCGGCAAACCCTTCTTTAAACTGGCGGAGGTTGTTGAAGTGGGAATCCTTGAAGTACCGAACATTTTGACTTGCCCTCTTGTAACTTCTGCGTCCTTGAGCTTTGACTACAAAATCAAAGCGAGAAATAGAAATAGCGGATTGCTCGAAGTGTTGGGCCGGTAGTCAATGTCCTTATTTGGCAGTTCCGCCATTTGGCAGAACAGAAAAATCTGAACAGGTTGCAAAATATGACCAAAACAGAATATAAAGATATAAACGAAGCACCTGAAGAGAATAATTCAACTTTTCTGTACTTATAAACACTCCAAATATACAACAAAATGCATTTAAGGGCTAAAAAAGTGGATTCACCATGATATGTCCCCTTTAACATTGCAATCAGTCCATTGTTTTATATCATTTATCTATTTTTCTTATTCGATTTATCTATCTATTTGATAGATTTACATGCTGTATGATGCATTCTTTATTTCTATATTTTTTATCTAAATGCAAGAAATAAATTAATCAATAAAATATGCATTTTTAAAAAATCTAATTATGAATTTTTATATTCCTAATTTGAAAAGTATAATTTCTATATTTATATATTAATATTAATAATAATTTATTTATTATTTATATTTAGTGTATTAGCATACTTTATGATGGGTACTTATTTTTTTTTATTATTTTTTTTAGATTTTATTTTAATTTCTTTCACAAAAATGATTGGTGGACCCCTAAATGGGAATTAAAGAGCCCTATTGTAAAGTTTTATATTCATATTGATTTATTTATATTCATTCTCATGGCAAAAGGCAAGATCAGGTAAGTAAGTCATGACATGTTGTTATGGGAATCTTAGCCAACATCTTCAAAGACTTCTAAAAAAGGGTTTTTTTTATCTTTAATTGAGTGGATTGATGTTTAGGATGCTTTCATAATGCCAGAATGAGCAAGAGGGATTCCCATCCCTCAGACAGGAAGTCTAATTATCCCGCAGGAAGTGTAACCGTGTCACACGCTGATCCGCCCACCTGCGCCATGTGAGGAGACCTATCGCTACCATGGAAACAGGGATAGTGAAGGTGGGGGAGGGGGAGACTCAATCTCCAAGTTGGGGTTCCTTGGACTGCGAGTCATACTTCTGCACCCGCAAACCAACCCTGAACTCCGTCACTAGCTCTCCTCCGCAGGGAGAGAGATGCACACGGATTCTGAGGGGTTCTCGTAGTTGCTAGGAGACACAGAATTCATAAAGTGCAAGGCGTGGGATATCCACCCACTTCTCAATTGACAGATCTGAGTCTCCATCAAAACAGGTGCGTCACAGCACTGCGCAATAACATCCAGAGAAAACATCCGGAGACAGAGAGAGAGAGAGACTGGGTATCAGCATCTGCTTTCTCATTCAAGCTGCTCTCCAGCATTCCTCTGCCTCTCTTATCCATTCTTGTTTTTGTTTTTCCTGCTACGTATTTCCCCCCACCTCTAATCCAAGTGCTGCAGTCAGCAAACATGATTTTTATGTTTATGCTAAAAATGTCTTGTGTTTTCAGACCAGAGTTAGCGCTCCCATCTGTAGCATCTGCTTTGCAATGTTTTTCTCTGCAGTTGAAATTACTGTTTACAAACAGACATTCTTTTGTGACATTTCCAGATTGTTTTTGCTCCCTGCGGGGTATTGCACAAAAGCAAGATTAGGGATTAAGCTGGGATTTTCCTGTAGCCCTGACTAGGTTGCATGAAGGGAGGCTAAATTAATCTACATTAAGTTACTATGGAGATTTACACTTTGCAGCTAGCCAGGCTAACAACCAGGCTAAGATCAATCCTAGTGATTTATCGGCTAATTCCTCCCTAAATCCTACTAGATATTAATGTTTTAGTTACTTCATGGTCCTGCATTAAAAATACTAGATATACTGTCATTCATCTAAGTATGCGTACTCCTATAGTTATTATTAAAAACTGCTGTTCATTTCACTGTCAGAGGTTTGATGAATATATATATATATATATATATATATTATTTGAGATTTAAAGCGTTTATTGGCATACACCTGCAGTGAGGAAAGCAGATTTCCCTGAGCAATTGTAACTTTGCTGTCCACAATAAATGCCAACACAATGCAAAATACAATATGAGAAATAGAATATAGGCTATTATAGGCTATTTTATTGCAGTTGATGAGATAATAAGAAATGGCTCATTAAGTCGTAAATGTGCTTTAATTTAAGTCTGTAACAAGGTCAATATGTAGTATATATAGACTAAAGATTTGTTTTTCCTATTCACAATGGCTTGCCCTTTGTTGGATGTAGTTGATGAGGAAGTTTTAATACTCAGACGAGCATTCAGGCATGAACGAGTGTTCTGAGATCGGGCAGACCCGTTGGAATCGCTGGCTTCCCTTTATTTAAGTCCAGGGCCAGCTCCTCTGCTGTGGTGAATTATTGGGTTGGAGGGCTACCCCCGTACCAGATATATGACTTATTTTTTATTGCTAAAATCAGCACAGACAATTAAATGTCAGCAAACATGTCACCATGTTATATGTACAATATCTGATTATAGATTACATGAAATCAATTAGAAACAAAACCGATATAGAAATAGATAAAAAGATTAAAGAGATAGACATAAAATAAACTAAATACATGAAGTGTTTGCAATTATTCTTCATGTTAAATGTATGTCCACTGGTCACATTTAAGGCAAAATATACAATTATTTTTTTTAAATGACAAATAACTCCTCGAATTGTAATTATGAGGGTTACAATGGAGCACTGCACACTCAAAAAAATAATGCTGGGTTGTTTTAAACCAATTTTGGGTCAAATATGGACAAACCCAGCTGTTGGGTTAAATTTCTTAATTGCATTTTTAAATCCAACATTTAGGTTTGTCCATATTTGATCCAAAATTGGGTTAAAACAACCCAGCATTTTTTAGAGTGTGGTTATTTATGGACTTACAGTATGCATTCAGTCGGTCTGCTGTTGTTTGCAAGACATTCTCTCTTTGTTTTATTACAGCATCTGTATTGGCTTTTTTACATATTATATGTTTCACTTCTTCATACGTTTCCATTAGATGCCGCACACGTTTTTTCCATTTTGGGATCGGTGATCCTGTGATCGATTTCGCGCTCTTTTTAAGAATGCCGTGAACGCGCATTTATCCAAACTATATTCACCTGGCTTGACATATCCACGCATTCTCATCCTGGCTCAGCAAACGTGCAACGGATTAAGCCAGGATGCACTGATCAAACTAAGTCAAACCGTGACTGTTCAGTTATCCTGGCTTTCTTTTGTGCAATAGCCCTCTGGAAAATACCTGTTACAGATTAGGACTACAACATTTGAACTAGTACCAAGTCCTATGTGTGGTGTTGAAATGCATTTTATGCTAAACCTTTATATATACACCACATTTCTTAGACTTGGGGATTCTGTTTGTTCTACATTCAGAAAGTATTTCTTAGAAAGCAAATTATAGGTAATATATTAACTTATGCTTACAATAGTATGCATTCTTATGCTGACAAACGATTCATCGCAATTAATCGCCTCCAAAATAAAAGTTTGTGTTTACATAATATATGTGGGTGCACTGTGTGTAATTATTTTGTATATATATATATATAAATACACACACATGCATGTATATTTAAGAAAAAATATTATTTATACATTATATATAAATCTATATACAGTATATACATGAAAATATATCTTAAATATATACAAGCATGTGTGTGTATTTATATATAAAATTTTTATACACAGTGCACCCACATATATTATGTAAACACAAACTTTTATTTTGGATGCGATTAATCGCGAGTAATCGTTTGACAACCCTAATTCTTATTATACATTATATTTACTGTATATAAAATAGTTTTATATATAAATTACAGTTCAAAGTTTTAGGGTCAGTTATATATTTTTTTTCTTCAGAGAAATTAATGCTTTTATTCAGCAAGGAGTGAGGATGCATAGAAACGTGACAGTAAATATACTGTTATGTTACAAAAGACAGTAAAGAATCCAAATAAAAATGTTTAGGGATTTCCACAAAAATATTATACATTTTAGTGTTTTTATAATTTGACAAGAACTTTGGCAAGAACTTGTTCCAACACTTAAGAGTGGAGTAACGATGCTGGACATTCAGCTTTGCCATCACTAAAAAATTATTTTAAAATATAAAAAAAGTTATTTTAAATTGTAATCATATTTTACTATATTACTGTTTTTCAAAACATTAAAAGACTTTAAAATCTTTCCGACCCTAATATATGTACCGTAATA